GCCCCGAGCTTTTCCCTGCGGATCGCGAAGCGGGAGATGGGGCTGGCACCGCTCCGAGCGCGGGATGAGAAAGACTGGGAGGTTCCTGGCCCAGAATTGGCCTCAGGGGCTTCAGATTGTGGCTGGAACCTGCAGTTCCCACAGAATCCCAGAAGGGCTGAGACTGGAACCTCCAGGGACCCCCCAGTGCAGCCCCGGCTCCAGCAGGGACACCCAGAGCACGGGGCACCCGGGCGCATCCAGGCGGGTTGGAGATCTCCAGAGCAGGAGCCTCCACAGCCTCTCTGGGCAGCCTGTGCCAGGGCTCGGGCACCCTCACACCAAGGAAGTTCTTCCTCACACGGACATGGAGCTGCCTGGGGTTCAGCCTGTGCCGTTCCCCCTGGTCCTGGCAGCGGGCAGCACCGAGCAGAGCCACATCTCGATGACAAGTCCCCTTGGGCCACTGCCTCCTGCGCTCTCCAAACAGGTCTGTTTGGAGGCCAAACACTTTCTAAATGCACCTTTCTTTAGGGGATGAGCAGAGAACTGAAACCCGGAGCACAGCAGCCCAGGTTCCCCCATCATGAAGCTCATTCCAAGCTTCTCCAACTGCCTCCAAACAGGCGAAGGAAGCAGAGGAGAGCGCAGGGCACCCAGGAAACCCCAAGAGTTTGAGCCCAGTTCTCAGCAGGTGCCTGGTTTTGCCCTTAGGAAGAGGGAAGGTCCTGCAGATATCATTTGGCAGTGCAAACAGTTAAGGAAGGGAGAGTTTGGGCACACAAGGAGAGGGCCCGGAGCCTTCCCAGCCCCGCTCCGTCCCGGCACAGGGATTTGGGGAAGCGGAGCCGCGTGGGCACTCACGCTGTTGAAGATCTGCAGCCCGTCGTGCCCTCCGGACACGTAGATGCGGCCCTCGAAGACGGTGACGCCGGCGGCGCTGCGGTTGGAGCTCATGGGCGTCACCGCCGTCCACCTTGCCGAGGGAGAGGGCAGGTCAGGACGGGGCTCCCGCGATCCCACGGATCCCTCCAAACACATCCCGTTTCCCAGGACTCCCTCTCCGTAATTCTGCCTCTTGCAGCGAAACCACCCGCGTGCAGCGAGGAAAACTGTTGTTAGAGGGGGCTGCCACGCACCCAGGGGCTTTTCCAGCTCGTTCCCCGCGCGGCGCTCGCGGCTCTTACTTGTTGGTCTCCGGGGAATAGGCCTCCACGGAGTTGAGGGACGAGTTTCCGTCGTAGCCGCCGCACACGTAGATCTGCCCGTCCAGCACCACGGTGCCCATGGCGCTGCAACGAGGAGCGCGGGCCCGTGAGGTGGCACCCCCGAGTGCCGTGTCCCAGCGGGGGACACGCGAGCGGGGGACAACCAGCGGGACCCCAAGGGGGTTCTCTGGGTGCAACGTGCTCCGCTCGGGGCACAAAAATGCCCCTTTGTCCCCATCGAACCAAACCAAAAGCACAGGAACAGGGAGCCAGGAATTCCAGCATCTTCCCAGCTTCCTAGGGG